GTGGTGATCGTTCGGGTGCTTTTTTTTTTTTTGATGGATTGTGGGTTGCCGTTTTGAACTCGAGTACTGTATCTGGTTATCATATACTGGCTGTTTTTGGTTTCCTTATCCTGTTTCCTTTCTGTGTGTGGGGGGGGAAGGGGGGGTGTCGTAAGGGTTCGAGTGGAGGGTCGTCTGCTGCGTCGCGAGACATTTCCTTGGCCGGAAACGGGGGAAACAGGCCGCGGCAAGAAAACCTGCGAATAAAAGGGAAAAAAGAGTCCTAGACCGTATGAGCTGCGGGGAGATGTGGTTCTGATGCCCTGGCATATTGTCCGTTTCCTGGAGTTCTTGCGGTGTGCCCCGCCATTAACACCGCCTCCCGTAAACATGAAAGCTCACTCGATCAAAGAAAAAGTGGGATCAGCCATTTTCAAAAGGTATGATAGTCTAGTTGTGGTCGAGCAGAGGAAAAAAGAGAAGTTAAAACAAAAGAGTTCAGCACCTGGGATTCCCACGTGGTCACCCACCGTAGTACTAACCAGGCGATGTGATGCTTGTTTACCGCAGAGCGGACGGGATGCGAAATTTTCATCACTCTATGGCCGAACACACTAGATGGTAAGAATTGCTACCCATGTAGACCGTGTGAGCCCTCAGCGAGATGGCACCCTCAGCGAGGCGCGGCGTTGCCTACCACCTAAACTACTGCCATTTGCCACAATAAAGCGACTTTGAACCCTTAGCGTCTCGTTGAGGGTGCCGTCTCGCTGAGGGCTCACACGGTCTACTGCTGGATGGGGCGTATTCATAGAAGTTATGATATGTACTTGTACAGTTTTTTAGCAACAGGTCTTGGGTCCTGTTTGGCATGCCATGGTTTGTGTGGTTTGTGGTGCTTGACAGCACGTATCATATCATAGCTTGAGTGGTAGAATTTGAAAACCTTAAAGAACTCAGTTTGAAGGCAGAGTGAGGTAGGTTTTAGGAAATTGTTTAAACATGTTTGTGATCATTTTGTTTTAGGGTTTGTACTCCCATAAAGATGTTATTTTCTATTAAGTTGTTGTAAACACATTTCTGCCTTTGCGTTTTCTTCGTGTGCGCCTGAATAGCGACTTGTTTTTTTACCTTCTGTCTGACAAAGCATACCTTATGATACGAGCTGCAATCCGGCATAGATGCCTTAAAAACCGTGCTAGACAGGGCATTGGTATATCCTGTAGCCCGCAGTGTGGTACGGTTGAGGAGTCTTGCTTAGGAAAATAACAAGATCTGGTGAGTATCCTTCTTGAATTGGTAATAGATTTCTAGGGCTTCAAACTGAGACCTTATCAACCGATCCCTTGGACTTAGTGACGGACTATCGGATGGCGTCCTGAACACTACTAAGAGCACTGCTTTCCTGAGCGCGGAAAGAAAGAATACATTGGTCTGACTGAATTAAACAGCGTTGAAGCTAGGCTTTGAAGTGTGTTTGCCCGTTGCTTGCTTGCTACAGTATCATCGCCACCTGTGGGGTCATGCGCACCACGGTGGTGATCGCTGGGTTTATGATCTTTCAGGGGGTTTGCTTCCCCCAAAGTTTGCCATTGTGCTCTCTCTATCCCACCCCTTTCTACTCGGCGAATCTCCCCCGGGGTTTCAACGACCTCATATGTCAATCCATTTTAGCTGTGTTTCCTATCCTTACACATCCGAGTCGGTGGATATTCGGCTCGCCTTATGAGCCCTGGGTTTGACCTCCACCCGATGGAGCAGTCGCTAGTGTACCAAGTTCACAAGGCAGTGGTAACTAGGAAGTCCGAATGGGTCGGCACTTTTCATTCGGGCTAAGCACGATAAATTTCCGAGGGAGGCAATGGTGCTCGCTACCTATCAACTGGTCCGGTCATGCCTCGGTACGCCCCATCTTTAATCTCTTGTCAAACCAGAACCGTGCAGGGAATCAGGGAGGATCACTCGTATCACTCATCCCACGTGACCTCAGCTGCTCTCGGCATGTGAGAAGAGATTTGGAAATAGACGCTGGAGGTACCAAGCACGAAGAAAGCGTTTAAATTGCTGATGATATTTCTCGAATATATTGTGATCGCACTATTATTATCCCCCCCTTTCTCCTTTCCGCTGGGGTTGGACTTTTATTGATGGTAGACTGGATCCCGACATTAGCTCCGGGGCAATTGAACGCGGTTGCGGTGTTCTCCCGCCATAAGCAAACACCAGTTTTATCTTGGCTGAGACGAAGATGCTTGAGAAGAGCAAGCTGCAGGCCAGAAGACATGAAGGGGGGCTAGCGCGTTGGGACAAGGTCACCAAACCATGGAGGCGAACTGTCTGAGGTACTGGCGGGAACCCCCCTTGCCCCCCGTCCTCAAACGGGGATAAAGTAAGAGGTACATCATGAGCGAGGACCAGAAGCGGAGTGTGTGGGGAATGGAACAAGACAGGGGAGGAGGCATATGCCCGCCGGGTGTTTACTTTTTACAAATATTATGAGGCTGGGGCTTGAAGGGGACCGTGGGGGAGCATGAAGATATCAAGCTGCTACTCTGAGTCCACATCCATTTGGATCTAGCTGAGGATGATGCCTGTGCTCCTGAGTTTCTGCTGATGGGTTTGTCTGGAGTTTTCCCGGGACTATGTGGTACCGGTGTCAGACTCCGAGTTTGTCCTCCTTCATGTGTTTGGGGGGGTGGGGGGTCCTCGTAATGTGTTGGCAGTTTCATTACATGCATGTGTTTGTGGATGGAGAGCGATGTGTGGCATTGGATTGATTGAGAGGATGATATAATATGCGATCGACATTACCAGCCGAGGGAGGCTGAGGGGTAGAGGCTATTCCCAGTTTGTTAGCTCCTACAATTTTCCTTCTGCAGCGGTACCTAGTTCAGTGACCCAAATTTCTACTCCACGTTACTAATCGCTATGGTTTTGTTGGACCCTTAAGAGTGATTGTGTACAGATGAAGGAGTTACATATGTCAATGGCCTTGTGACTTGTTTGGGAACTGGGCACGACATTAGACTGCAGAGGTGAGGAGTCTAATGGCTCTGCAGATTTATGTCTGAAATGGGACCAGGGCTCCGAATAGTGCTAAAAAGTTGTGTAGTAAACATCCCAACAACGTTTGGGACGACCGTATCTGGATACTCTTCTATTGAGACCGCCCTTAGTCTCAGAGACCTCCTATCATAGACAACATTGAATCGCGTAATAACCCTAGATGATAATTTCATGCTTTCAGCTATGATATGATACAGCTGAAGACACCCATAAGGGTTTTCATACGGATCGCCGAATTCCATAAAAAAAAACAAAAAATCCCCACGATACAAACCTGTTACTTCCCAAAACCAAATGGTAAGACAAACCATAGACCTTAACTTACCCACTAATGACTAACACCATCGTGATACCAAACACTCCAGATCAGCTCTTCCGTACCGCGGGTACTTACCACATCTCCTACTCCTCCTCCTCCTCCTCCAACTACTTTATCCCCCCCTCCAGCACGCGCGCAATACAATACAATCCAGCTGGAAAACTCATATATAAAAAACTCCTACTGGTACACCATACCCCCAGTCCCCCCCCTCCTTCCTTCCTTTCAAAACTGCGTAGCCATAGCATATGATAAATCCCTTCGCCGCGATTACCCCAACCCTTCCCGCCCCTCCCTCCCCCCCGAAAAAGAGGGAAAACCCCGACAGTAACGCCAGACCTTCCCAATTCAGTGGACTGCACGAGTGAGTATCATATCACACCTCCCGAAATTAGCAATGCTACTCGGAAAGGAGGGGAACGGGACGATCAACCGCAAGATCCTCTTTCGTGGAACTGTACAGCACTCCACCCCTCCACATCCCTCAACCCCCGACCTTGTGCACAATCCTCTAGGGAGAGGGCGAGCACTAGTAGCAGTAAAACTTGGGAACTCCCTGTATGATATCATACCCAGTTCTTTAATAATAATAGTCATCACAAATTCTCACTCGACTTGCAGAATTCTGTCGTACCGGTATATACAGTACAGTACAGTACTCGTACATGGTTGGTCGGTACAGTACGATACTACATCACGATAACTATATAATAGAAGGGAAGAAGAAACCCCGTCAGCTAATCCAACAAAAAAAATTAAAAAAAAGAGGTTTCACACAAGTTCACGGAATGTAGTTTGTGATAAAAAAATCTTTTCTTTTCTTTTCTTTTCTTTTCTTTCTTGATAACATCACCGCCCGAGAATGATATGATAATAATATAAATGGATAGATACGTTAGAACCCCGGACTCACTACCAGATCAGAACAGTACTTGACGCATTTCCAAATAGAAGAAAAACAAAGTTACGACGTACGATATATATATATCTGACCTCTTCAATCTAGGAATCGTATCCAAAAAAAACTAAAAAAACTATCAAGATGGATGGATGAATGAACCTGGTGTTATTCTTATTATTATCATTTTTTTTTTGGGAAGGGAGGGGAGGAGGGGAAAGGATTCGTCCTTGTTTCTTGTGTCTGGCTAACTGTGATATGATACCATACCTGAGAGTGGGAGAGAGTTGGGAATTTGTATTGTGTGTATGTGTGGTTGGGGGTGGGGGAGGGGGGGGCTTCTTGCGAGTGGGGTGAAAATAAATAAACATGTGATACAGTACGTCCTCTCTTGGGGTTCTTAAACGGCCGGTGGATGCAGGAGTAACGATCTGGGGCCTGCAGGAGGCCCGATACGTTTGTATTCGGTGGAAGGTAATCGCGAGTCAAGTAAGGTACATCGTACACCAACAGTCTCCGATAGCACATTCGTCTGTGTCTACCTCCCCGATCGGGTGGATGGGGCTTTAACTTTACCATAGAGGTTGCCGGGTTGACCGAAAAGTGGTTTATTTGCAGTAGTCTAATTCATCATGTTTGGACTACGCTACTCACCTGCTGGCTTACAGACCCCACCCCCGAATTCCGTGGGATGTCTACATTGGCATAGCATATGTTAACCACGACCTATACCTAACTCTATAAGCGGAAATACCTGCTATAGCTATCATTGGTCATACACAAGTCCGCCCAACACCGCGCCAACCCACACCGCTCCCTGCCAGTGCGGGGGAAAAATAAGGAAGAAAAAAGAAGGTGCTGCACCATCTAACCAAAGCCGCGAACCTATAAGGAACCTAATGTGCAGTGGAGAGATAAAGAGAGAGAGAAAAGTAAAAAGGAATGGGAAGAAGAAAAGAACAGCAATTATATATATATATACCCCACGTATTATTAATATTGAGTTATGCAACCTAGTAGACAGACAGGCTTGCCTGCTTCTCTGTTTAATCCCTTCTCTTCTCTAAAACAAAAAAAAGCACACCCGGTAAAGTGGAAGTGAAGTAAGGTTGAAAAGGTGAAGAGTGGATAAGAGGAGGAAAACGGGAAAGAAAGAAAAGGGGGGAAGCATTTAGCTAATCAAGGCCCAGAGAAGGAAGAATATCATGAGAACTATATGGGACATCTGTTAGTTTTGAAACATTTTTATATATAACGGTGGACTGGGCAGACATACCTCCAAACATCTTCACCACCAACCACCGATTACTGCTGACTCTAGACCAGTACTTGAGTAATTCTCTCTGCCCGCCTTCTACATTCGTTACGACATCCTCCGTCTCATGGTCAATACGCTGAATCATCTCACTCTGCTCACCCACCATCTGTGCCAGCTGGCTGAATATCCCGCCCAGCTCTGTGATAGTCTTCTCGATAGCTTCTATAGCCTCCGATCGGGCGGAGATGTAAGAGTTCGCCGAGGACCCTTCCTCCATCAGTGCCAACTGCTGCGCCGATACGGGACCCGATAGCGCTGACGAGGAAGGGTTTGGGTCCAGGGACAATAAATCGGGCTGATTATTCGGCCGGGGGGTGGTAGACGGTGTAGAATATAATGGCGAATGCGAAGTTTGCAGGACCGTTGCTGTCATCATCACCACTCATGTTAACACAATACTCACACCACCGATGAGGCGCTCAAATGTGGGGAGGGGGGACAAACGATCAGCAGAGCTCGGCCTAACATTCGACACGAACTGATCGGTCCGATGCCTGGAAGCCTGAATATTCTTCGTCCGCACCTCGAGAACCTCCTTGAACCCAACCGACACGCGGGCCAACTTTCCCTGGAGGATGACGACAACGTTTTTACTGTGCTCGCCCTCCTCATTGCGGCCATTATTCTTCTGGCGCGAGAGCGCCTGAAGGGCTCCGATGTTCTGATTTATCGCCGAGAGGTCCTGCTTGATGATGTATGTGAGTTCCGCTATCTCGACTGGCTTGTCGTCGAAGAGGGCTTTGCGTTTGGCCACTGTTCGTCCACCCAGCCCACGTTAGCGTCACACCACGTCGCCCCCCCCTTTCCCCTTCCCCAACTCCCGGAGGATATGATGATGATGAACTCACGCATCGCAAGCTTCTCCAACTTCCCCATGGTATCCGTAATAGCCCTTCCAATGTCCCTCGCCTTCCTAGCAAACTCACTCCTCCCACCGCTCCCACCGCTCCCCGTCTGCTCATCCTCCCCCGCTTTCCTATTCTTCTGCCCGAGCAATCGCTGGTGCGCTCCACTCGGATTATTCCTATTGAGACGTTTAGAAGCCGATGCTGTGAGGGCGTGGAACTCGCCCGTGCGATCTTGAATCGACATTGGTAACCGTACCGTAGTGTGTGGTGTGAGTGGTCAAAAAATGAAATAAATAAGGGTAAAAATAGAGAGTGTTTGAAAAGAGCAGAATACTGCCACCGTAGGGTAAGGAAGGTGTGAGAAGGAAGGGGGGGAAAGTTAGGTTACGTGTTGATTAGTTGTGGGGCAGTTCGGTTTCTACACAGCCCCCAGGGATACAAGAGAACAGGATGTCAGGAGGTCGGGAGGGAGGAAAAGCGGGAAAGAGAGGAAGGGAGTGTGATAGGAGGGAAGGCAGTTGGGTGCGAAAGGAGCCGCTAGCCGCTAGCCGCTTTTTCGTTCTTCTCGCTCTTGGCCTCAAGCCTCGCCAACGGCTAAGTTACCAGTCTCTCCAGATGCCGCCGGGACGCCTCCTGGCAAAGTCGCAACGGATTGGATCGGGTTGACCCTCAGAATCACACAGTAATGAACCCTAACCTTGAAGATGCGCGACGTAGAAAAGAGGTGGCGGAGAGAGAGGAAGGGAGAGAGAGAGAGAGAGAGAGAGAGAGAAGGAGAAGAAAAAGATAGAAACTAAATACT